AATATGTTAAATAACACAAATATCCTTTATTCCATTTTATTAACCAACGTCTTTGCTGCTGATCTTCGATGATCAACCATACTAATAGTGAACAGTCAGATGTTTTTTATGTATTCAACCTTATTTTGTTCCTGGCTAAATATTTTACGCATAAATGTAAATTTTGTAAGTGAAAGCCTTTCTTTAGAATTTTTACATTTAAATCTCTATATGTGTTTGATTTCTGAATCTTCTAATAAGAAAGCTGTAAAAACTGTGAATTTGTTCAAAAGGTACATTATTGTCTTGCTCCCTGGCATATGTTATAGGCCTACTGTCATTCTGTTATACATGTTATAAAAAAAAAAAAATACTAATAAACAAAAATGACTTCAGATAAACATAACATTTGTGTTATTGAGAGAAAAAAGTAACGCAAAAGTAACGTAACGCATTACTTTTTTTATTTTTTTTTTATTTAGTCATTTATCAGACGCTTTTATCCAAAGCGACTTACAAATGAGGACAACAGAAGCAATCAATTGTAATATTAAAACAACTAAAAACAGATCCAAAACTAAAAGCTATTTTGTTCCTGGCTAAATATTTTACGCATAAATGTAAATTTTGTAAGTGAAAGCCTTTCTTTAGAATTTTTACATTTAAATCTCTATATGTGTTTGATTTCTGAATCTTCTAATAAGAAAGCTGTAAAAACTGTGAATTTGTTCAAAAGGTACATTATTGTCTTGCTCCCTGGCATATGTTATAGGCCTACTGTCATTCTGTTATACATGTTATAAAAAAAAAAAATACTAATAAGCAAAAATGACTTCAGATAAACATAACATTTGTGTTATTGAGAGAAAAAAGTAACGCAAAAGTAACGTAACGCATTAATTATTATTATTTTTTTTTTTTTAGTCATTTATCAGACGCTTTTATCCAAAGCGACTTACAAATGAGGACAACAGAAGCAATCAATTGTAGTATTAAAACAACTAAAAACAGATCCAAAACTAAAAGCTAAAACTTTATAAATACTACTTGTACACATTTTAAAAATAAAGAAATTAAATAAAAATGACAAATGCATACAACAAAATTACAAAACTTAACATTTAAATGAAAAACAAAAAATAAATCTAAAAACAATTCAAAGAGTAAAGAACAAAAGGTATAAGAGTATAATAACGATTCTAACATAACACTAAGCCAAACACCAAAAAAACAACTACATATATGTGTATGTACAACCACACACACATACATACATACTGTATATGTACATACACATTTATAAATTCAATATATATATTATTTCATTTCCATTTAGTTTGTTGAAGTATTAAAATAACTCAAATTAAATAAAAACTAAAAACTTAATAAAAGACCTATACAGACATAATAAATTCAGACATAATGTAACTAAAATTAAAATAAATAACAAATACAAATAATACAAATCAAACGACAGTAGTTTATCAGTAATCCTAAAAAATAACACCGCAAAACTTGCATGCTAAAAAACTACTTACTTACACATAGTAAGAAATGGTTATAAAAACTGAAACAGAAGTGAAACAAGTAATAGGATTACTACTTTACATTACTTTCCACAAAAAGTAACAAAGAAATGTAATCAGTTACTTTTTGAGGAAGTAACGCAATATTGTAATGCATTACTGATAAAAGTAACTTTCCCCAACACTGCTAATGACACATCATTTTGGTTATTTTCACGTCTGGGAAAAATGTGGGATTTAACGGGTTAATAGCTTAAGTCGAACCATGGTGTCTGCAGTTAAAGGAGTACAATCTGCGCTTTGTCGCAGCGGATGGACAGTAATTTACTCCCGGTCCCTTGCAACAACCGCCGGGCGGATATAAACGACACGGGGTGACTACATTCAACCATTACACGCACCCCTCTCGCTAGTTATTCTGCCACAAAATGGCGGAGCTCGACGCGAAAGACCCCATTTTGTCAAGCAGACGATAAGAACAGTTCGAGGAAGCGGAATTTTTGTAGTTTGTAACGCTATTTCGAGCGAGTTTGGGATGCGTTTTGCCTCGAGCGCTGCTATGTTGAGACGTCGTCCGCGCGCTCCGAGTTTGACGCAGCTCGAGCACTGCGCGAGCGAACGCTCACGCATAAATATATCAAGCTACATTAGATTTGTATCATATTTCAAATAACACGCAATAAACTTGACGAGGAATCATTTTATCTAGAGTCTGGAAGATATCTGACTGTTTCTGGTTAGATTTGCAAACCTAGTTTGTTTACATTGATTTACTTGTATAATAATACTCCGCTTCCGTGTTTTAATATTTAAAGTTGTGTACTGTAAAATGTTTTCATAAAATATATATGTGCTAAGAATTGCAGCTTGTTATGTGTGTATAGATGTACAAACCATGCATTATTATACCGGGTGATGGAAAACCTGGAAATATCAAGAGGATTTAAAAATGTTAAGGCCTAGAAATGTGATGGAAATTATTAAATATGATCAGAGTATGCTTTTTTGTAAATGCAATCTCTTTAAAATTATATATAAAAAAATAAATCAGGAAGGAAACAGAAATGCACAGACATAAAGACTGAGGACGAGTTTAGTTTGCATGCAGCTTTACTTCAGCAACTAAACACCTGCATCATCAGAGTAGTTATTAGACATGAGCCATTCTGCCAGATTGTCCACCTAATCTGTTTAACATGAGTCTATCATCTGATGGATACACGAGTAAGACTGAATGATATATCCAGTCTTTGCTAAACTCTGACAACCCCAGATATTAAGTAGCACATGAAGGTTTTGAAGGGGAAAAGACGAGCTGCGAGTAGCCAGATATGATCGATAAAAGTGGGTAGAGTTCTCCATCATGTGGTTAAACATGGAAAATGTTCTGTATTAAATTGCTGCATCTTAACCAAGAACATACTTGCATTAATTGGCCAAGAAACACAAGCTAGAATTTGCCTAAGAAACACATTTATATATTTTAAAATAGATTGTTATATGTATCTACATGCTAATTGAAAATAATCTATAAAAACACGAATTCTTCACATCAAAAGTGAGTCAAAATGCATTTTAGTATCACTTAGATACTATTGTAGTTTTCATTAATATATTAATAGTAATATTTTTAATCAGTTTTTGTATTTTCCATTTGAGTAATTTTGCTGTTTGAGTTATTTTGAGTTTTAAAATGTCTAGATAATGTTTATTTTTATTTCAGTTTTAGGTATTTTAGTCAATAGTTTTTATCAAGTTAAACTAAATTAAAATGAGAATGTTGCCTTGACAACTGAAAATGTTCTGTATTAAATTGCTGCATCTTAACCAAGAACATACTTGCATTAATTGGCCAAGAAACACAAGCTAGAATTTGCCTAAGAAACACATTTATATATTTTAAAATAGATTGTTATATGTATCTACATGCTAATTGAAAATAATCTATAAAAACACGAATTCTTCACATCAAAAGTGAGTCAAAATGCATTTTAGTATCACTTAGATACTATTGTAGTTTTTATTAATATATTAATAGTAATATTTTTAATCAGTTTTTGTATTTTCCATTTGAGTAATTTTGCTGTTTGAGTTATTTTGAGTTTTAAAATGTCTAGATAATGTTTATTTTTATTTCAGTTTGAGGTATTTTAGTCAATAGTTTTTATCAAGTTAAACTAAATTAAAATGCGAATGTTGCCTTGACAACTGACTGAAAACCTTTCTACACATTTACATTACAAATACAAAGTGTTCTATATATTTTCCAGTTACCGTTTATTTTATTTCAAGTTACTTTTTTTAATGGTATTAGTTTACTATAATAATCCTGGCATAAACTACTAGTTAGATTGCATTGGTTGGTCAAATATAACCTGTAAGTATTTAAACCCTCAGCTTGTAGTTTGTCTTTTTAGCCACTAGGGTGCAGCACTATCACACATGAGCTGCTATAATCTCATTATATCGATGATAAAAGAAGATATTGATGTAGTAAAACTCATTTTCACTGTGGTGTATGCAAATTTCAATGTTGTTATATTTTGCATATTCATTTAAACATTGAGTTATGATTCTTTTCTTGTTACTCTTCATTATATTTACTGTTTTATGATACTTATATATTCAGTATTACTAATTTCATTTTTTTTTTTCATATAATATTCCATTTATAATCATATTCCATAGTGGTCTGACATGTAAAGGGTATATTTTTGTTATGGTAAAAGGATGTTCTGGTAAGATGTTGAGCACCTTGTTCGAAATATTTTTATGTGAAGGATGTTCTTTCCAAGAGCTGGTGTTTGCAAGATGATATTTGAAGATTGCTTAACTCTGTTGTTTCTGCTGGAAGGATGTAAAACCACAACCATATCTCTATTTTTATCTGACTTCTATCTACTGCATTTCACAGGTCATGTCAACGTGACCTAGTCCTGAACTTAATTCAGCTGAGGAAGGGGGAATATTTGACAATACATAGATAATGACATGATGGATAAATTAGTTTGACGTTTATGATCCAGACCAAAACATCTGGTGATGTAATCTCTAGTATATATTATTCCAGCTTCTTCTTTTCTTCTGCTCATATCACATGCTCCAAAGGCCTTGGTCTTTTGACTTCTGAAGATTATTATACTTTAGATTAGAGTACTCTCTTAGAGATTTTAAGTAGAATATACTTTTTTCTTTAATTTCTGTAAATGTCATCATTTATGATTTTGTCTTAAAATAAATTACAATTTTATCTGAAAGACTTGGGCTGCCTGGATTTCACTGCATCACACTGCAATATTATCCTGATATGTACACAATGCCAGATTAAGCTTAATTTACCTGCCACTCTGAATGAATTAGTCCACGTTCAAGTAGGCTAAAAATGCAGGAAATTATACACCATATAGATCTTTATTTGACAGAATGCAAAGAGCACAAACGAACAAAACAAAGAAAATAAGCTACATTCAAAACAAACAATTTCTTAAAGTGCTGGAAGAATATCTCTCACACAATCTGACGCACAAAAATAGAATCAAAAGAACTTTATCCGGAAAAAAAAAAAGAGAACAATTACCCTTACACATAAAATGAATATTTATAAAAACCTTTCTGTATAGGCCACAAACTGGAAAATATTTAGCATTGTTCTGGACGGTGTAATAAAATAAAAGCTCAGGTGTTTATGGGCAAGACTGAGTCAGTAGTATTTGTGTGGCGTAAAGGAGGTAGCATTTCATTTAATAACAGCTGGCTGTTTGACCAACTTAAAACATACAAATTAAACCGCAGTACCTGCCAAACTAACCATCCTGACTAAATACAGTTCTTGATAATAAACCACACATATATTCCAACAAACACACATTTAAGGCACATAAACCCTAAATACTCTAAAATAGTTTTTAAAACGATGCCATTCAAGATTCAAACATGAATTTCACTTTGGTTGCCGTAGAGATGCGTTTCTGCATATTATGGGGTGTCAGATCAGAGCTGAAACGACAGGAGTGGATTTCCATCTACATGTGTTTCTTATGTAATACAGTAACAGTGCTCTTAATGTAAATATGAAGTGGAAACAGAACAGCAGACGTTTGCAAGCGTTACGTGATCACATGATCTGAACGCCCTGCAGCGCATCTGCTTCTGCATCATACATGAAGACATTAAACACACACACACTTACTGCTTTATAACATTCTGCTGGCTTTTCTTCTGAAGTACATTGACATACAGCGAATAAATGATTTGTGGAATTAATAAGTGATGTTGATCCATTTATAACTGAATAAGGAGTCGAATCAGATCGCGTAACAGATATGAACTGACTTAAAATAACTTATTAAACACAAACGATGACAACGATGATATGAGTTTGCAGATAACCGTGCATGATTTTAAACAATTAAGCTAAACCTATAAATGCTTGCCAACCGCTCAGCTAAAATAATGATAATTACAGTAGCTAAAGAAGAAATTAAAAACGTGTTAATTTTTTTTTTTTTTATGTAAAATGTATCCATTTCCAGGCATATCCTGATGATTTTTAGCATGGCACAAATGAAAGCTTGAGAGGAACATTTTGGCAGATGCCAAGAAAACAGATTACGTCATATTTAATTTAATTTAAATGAAAATGAGGCCGTTAACGACAGATGTGCAGCATGCTTAATAGGTTGTACTGAATTTAAAAGTCTCATTTTCATAGCTTTGCCACTAATAAAACATATTGTCAATGTTTGAAAACGTATTTGCAATGCTTTAAAATATACAACCAATTAAACAGACTGCACAGCCTCATTTTCACTCGAATCAAATAAAATATGGCATCCGACTAAATCCATGTATGAGTGCTGCAGTCGCAACTACATATCCCACCCAGCACCAATGAAAGCAGAGATGGATGTTTTTACCGATGCAAAGCAAGCCAACAGGCTATGTCATATTTAATTTAATGTAAATGAAAATGAGGCTGTTAAAGATAGATGTGTTTATAGGTTGTAGTCTAATTTTCTTAGCTTGGCCACTAGAAACATATTTTTAATGTTTGAAAACGTATTTTCAACATTTAAAGTATACAACAAATCAAACAGACTGCATACGTCACAGCCTCATTTTCACTTAAATAAAATTAAATACGGCATCAGAATAAATACCCCAGCATTCTTAGTTCTTTACCCTTCTCTTACTGTTCATCTCAAAGTAGGGTTCGTCACGTTTGCTGGGTTTCGTCCGTGCCGTGTGTTTGTGGGTAGCGCTCGTAGGTGCTGGTTTAGTAGCGGTGCTCTGGACAGGAGGGTTACTGCTGACTAGAGGTTTCCTGTGGGTCGTTTTAACGTTGACAGACGCGACGGTTCGCGTAGCACCAGCTGTGTTCTGCTCTACAGATTTACTCTTGCAGGTCACAGAAGGTTTTGCGAGAGCAATCGTCTGTTTGGGGTCATTCGGAGCCAAGCGAGGGGAAACGGGACGGCCCTTCCTAGAATCTAAGTGCAGGGCGGAGGCAGGGGAAGGAGGGCGTCTCTGGGCGAGCCGCGAGCGGACGGGTGCCGGAGGAGGGCGGCTGTTGCGCTGGGCAGGTTTCTGCGCAGATGTCGGTGGGGCTGAAGGTTTAGGCAGCTTGCAGGTGGGTTCGGGACAGACAGGACTGCGAGGTTGAGATGGAGATCCACGCGGGTGCAGTTTGGTCTTGGAGGTGGCGGAAGGGGCTTTTTGGGAAACCCCAGTCGGGGTTGACTGGGGAAGCGGGCTTCTTTTCGGGACGGGTGATGAAAGAGGGGTGGTTCTCGGTGAAGCTGTGGGTGTGTGAAAAATCTTCTTGGGTGCGGCAGCCTTACGAGGCATTAAGGGCGTGGAAGCGGGTGATTGGGTGACGCTGCGGGGCGTGGAAGCTGGCGATTGGGTGACGCCGCGGGGCATGGGCAGGTTGGGTTTAAACACGGACGTCGTGGAGGATGACGATGAAGAGGATGATTCTGGGAGGAGGTTAACGGCTGCGATGGGGTCCATCGTGGGCGGCTGCGCGGCCTGCACGGTGTGGGCGGGGCCTGGGCCGGACGGGCCTTTCTGATAGGCTAGAATCTTCTGCTCTAGAGTGGTGAACTGCAGCACGCGATCGGGGTCGTATTTCAGCAGAAACCCTTTCAGAGTGTCCCAACCTCCACCGACACGCACCATCACATGCTTCCCATGGAGCATCTAAGAGAGAGGATTTTAATTAGTAAGCAAACACAGAATTTGCCACACAGAATTAAATACTAGTGATGCACTAACATTTATTTTGACTGAAATCAAAATGAAAGTATATTTAATAATCAAATGTACTTAATATTCAACGTTCAAATAAAAACTAAGATGTATATAAATGAAAAGTATGTAAAGACTTTTTATTAGTTTTTATTTAGCCAAAAACCAAAAATAAAGTGTATTTAATACTAATTTAATCAAATTTACTTAATAATCAACAAAAAACAAGACATTACATTTTTACCGAAACCCCAAAACCGAAGTTTTTATTTAGCCATAAAACTGAAACCAAAAAGATTTCATAATCAATTAATCTAATTTATTTAATAATCTGAGTTAAGAGTTCTACTAACATATAAATTGCACATTAGGCAGTTTTTATATCAGCTTTTTAATTTTATAATTATGTTTCAACTCCAATTTGTTGTTGAAATATAAATATTTAAACAAAGTCTGTAATAAAAACTTGTTTTCATGACAGATTTATACATATTAATACATAATGAAATCAACAGGTTAAGTAAAAATATAATGAATATGTAATAAGTGCATATATTTATAATAATGCTCCTCTCTGGAGTTATTTTTTCTAGCTGACTAACGAGTTTATGGATATTGAATGGCTTTTCAGAAGTAAATGTGACGTTATTGTTTACAAGCGGTTTTGTTGACATCTTTCTGTGGTTGAAACACTAACTGAGCGATTACATGAGACATGAAGCATTTCAGTAAGTTTAGTTCAATAAACTTTTTGATGTTCATTCATGTTTACTTCATGCTATAACTAGCAGCAAAAAGGAAGAGATGATTTCAGCCCACATTTTTGGCCGAATATTTTCGGTGCATCACTATTAAATACACTTGAATTATTGGCATGTAGTGTGACCGCAATGTTTTATCAGGAAGCACACATTCAATCTAATCTGGATGTGCGTGTGTGCGAATGTTATGACAGTTCAGCACATGCTGGTTAAACAAACTAGATTGGATTTAGTAGACTGCTACAGTAGACTAAAGACAAGGAAAGTGCGCTCAGATGAGTATGTTTGCATAAGGTTTATCTGCTCTACTGCAATGTGATTTAAACAGAATGAAAACAAGATAATGTAACAGTGTTTTAAATGTTTAAAATAGGCATGAAATACAAATTCACTCTATCTACTTTCTAAATGAAACTTATATATGCATATTTCTTTTGGACCTCATAATGTTTAATGAAAATATCTCAACATCCAATCAACAAATGATACATAGAACCAAGTCCCGCCCTACATTTTTATCTTTTATCTTTTTTTTACACTCAATCTGCTCCTACCCTGATGAACAGGATCTTGTCTCCGAGCCTGTAGCGTCCCTCAGACAGATACTCGATGGAAAACTTCTGTGTGCAGTTACAGGGAGGGTCGTCCTGGTCCGCACGATCCTACAAACGAGAAGAGTTTGTTTGGGTGAAATGAGAGAAAAATTAAATCAATTGCAAGATGCAAATAGAACAGCTAGTTTGCAGATAGTGTATGAACGTTTAGCGCTGTTCTGAACTCAGGACCCGAGGGTGTCCCGTTGGTTATTTGGCTGAGAGACAGTGAATATGTTAGCGTTTGGGGCAAAATTGTTCCCCATGTGAAACATGTCTCTAAACAACAGCTGCTGTTTACACACTCAACAGACAATAGCAAACCCAACTGGGTCAGAATGAAGACAGATGCTGAGCCTCATCATGGAGGAAAATCCAACAAATAAAACATTTTCTCAAAGCCAGTAATTCTCCTGAACATTTACAATATTTCAGATGATTGCCAGGGTTATTTAGGATCATCGAGTCATTCTGATGGGAGTTTTTGTCATTTTATTAGTTCCTTTGTTTTATATGTCTATATAGTTTCTTTTTTTAAGTTTTAGTTTACTTAGTTTTAGTTATTTTAATACTGTAACCTAAACTAAAATGAGAAGTTTTGCCTTGGCAACTAGGTGAAATAAAATGTTTTTATTTTATTTTATTTCAGGTAATGTTTATTGAATATGTATTTAATGAATATGTTTTATGGTTTTAGTTTCAGTTCACTATAATAACCCTGGATTAAGCCTACAATTAAAATGTGAAATGGGTAATGCTTTTCTACAGAAAACATATTAGCATTAAAATTATATTATACAGTATGTGGAACAGAATACTTTCTGCAGTCTGATTTTAGATGTTAAAATTTGCAGTTTATCACTTCCAGCTCATTTGTTACTCTGAAATTGGGAGGTCAAGTTGAGTGCATTGCATTGTGGGAAACAGTATCTGACACACACACACACACACACACGTAGTTTATGGGGACTCTCCATAGGCATAATGGTTTTTATACTGTACAAACTGTTTTTTCTATCCCACTACCCCTAAACCTACCTCTCACAGAAAACTCTCTGCATTTTTAGATTTTCCCAAAAAACAAAACAAAAAAAATAACACCATTTAGTATGTTTTTTAAGCCTATTAAATTACGGGGACACAGGAAGTGTCCTCATAAACCACCTTCATATTGTAATACCTGTGTCATACCCATGCCATTATACAAGTCTGTGTCCTCATAAACCACCTAAACCGGTGCGCGTGCGCACACACACACACAGACACACAGTGTGTGTACTGCCGTAAGCTGCACATTTTTGCAGGTTGTCATTTGGATAATGCATGCATACAGAAAACTGCCATTTTTTGCAGCTATACATACTGCATACAAACTATAAAAAGGCAATGCTTCAACTCAAACTAAAAGGCTGATCTCAGTGTGTGTGTGTGATACTCACAGCGTGATACAGGGCTCCGTGCTGACAGCACACAGTGAATGTTTTCACTGGAGACGAGTGATCAGTTATCATTAGACTTTCCTCCAGTTCGATTTCCTTCTCCAGTTTAACCAAAACCGGAGGCTCTATCCCAAACCTAAACCAACAAACAAAACACCCCATCAACACACCGTCTTAACAGTTCTGTTTCTGTTCCAACCAGCTAATCATGACATAATTATATGTACAATATGCAATTAAATATTTGTGTATAATGACCATTCAATTGCATAAATGACTGCTGACTTCCTCACATAAAATAATGTCAAATTTATATAAAAAGGTTTTAAGGTAATAAGGAAGATAATATACATTCAGATGGTTATTATTACAAAATAGACCCCTTTACATTATACATTATCCTTAACTTACAGTCACTGTTGTGTTCTTCTAGAAACTCTATACATTCAGATTCTCTACAGCACAATAGCTGCTCGAAGCGCTGAAGTCAATTCACTTAAATCCTCTAAAATCCACGCAAATTTGCCCCCGACCCAACTTTAAAGCCCGTAAAGCAGCCCCTGACCTCTGACCCCAAAGCACAACCTGACATCTGTCACCTGCGGGATCATCAGAGCCGGTTTGCTTACCTGGAGACGACGCGTCCGATCTCCAGCAGGCACAGACACACCTGCCGCGGCTCTTTATGCAGGACTGGGGAAGGGAGGGAGAGCCGTTACCATGGTTACTTAGCCATCATTCATTGTCAAAGTTATTAAAGGTCCCCTGAAATGCTTAGAAACACGCAGCGTTACTCTGTGTTGACGTCATTTTAACTGAAACGAGAAGACAGGGCAGGACATATCAAGCAGCCCCGCCCCTTTGAGAAGCTGAAGTACGATGTGACGTCAAAAAAATCGTTGAGCCGTTTTGGCGGAAGTGAGGAACTGCAAGCTTTGAATGCTTATATCTTCTAAATGCGAATTGTCACTGTTTTGGAGCACACTGCTTTATAGATAACCTTAAGACTAGCATATTGATACTAACACCCAAAAAACTTTAATTTTGATTTCATGGGGACTTTAAGGCTACAGAAGACATAAGTGAATAGGGTAAGGTTTTAACTAATAGATATCACTATACATTTAATCAATCATAGTACATTGAAACACAAAACTGTGTTACATTTAAATATGCAAATGAGGTCATATTTAATTAAAAATCCGCTAAAATTCTTGTTTGCTGACATATTAGAATTAAAGGTTTTTAAAACCACGGCTTCTTGGGGCTTATTGCTTTATTTTTTTTTCATTTTTAGTTTTTATTTATTGACAGTTAATAATTTTGGTGTTTTATCTTAAACTTCAAATAAACTGAATTTATTTTAAGCTTTACATCTAATAATTATAATTTTATGTCAACATTATTTCAGTTAACGAATTTTTTAAAAATAGTTTTAGTTAATAATAGCCCTGCTTCTTAAGGGCTTAAATTTACAAAAAGATCATTTATTGACCCTTCAACTCAGTAGTAAATGTTTTTTTACTCATTTTTTAAACTCATTTTTAATGCAAAGAGGTCAAATTTTTAATGCAAAAATTTTCAAGACTTGGCAAAAAAGAAAAAAAACTTCACCAAAGTCTCCGTTTTAGCCACATGCACCAATGACATGCGTTTGGGTTTGGAAATTCTGGAGAGTTGGTCTTCATGCCGCTCAAAACCCTCAACACTTCAGTCTAATTCTTGTTTTAATATTGATATAAAAACATGGGCGTCGGAAGCAACAAAAAAAGTGGGTGGGTCCAACATAGTGTAACTGTAATTCAATGCTGCAACAAAGACTATATGATGTCTTTAAAAGCAACAGGCGAACAAATTATGAACATTCACTAAAATAACAGCTTGTTTAGTGACAGTATGTGAGCACACAGCCCCTTAGCTGTTATAAATTCACTGTAAACCACGGCTTCTTGGGGCTTATTGCTTTATTTTTTTTTCATTTTTAGTTTTTATTTATTGACAGTTAATAATTTTGGTGTTTTATCTTAAACTTCAAATAAACTGAATTTATTTTAAGCTTTACATCTAATAATTATAATTTTATGTCAACATTATTTCAGTTAACGATTTTTTTTAAAATAGTTTTAGTTAATAATAGCCCTGCTTCTTAAGGGCTTAAATTTACAAAAAGATCATTTACTGACCCTTCAACTCAGTAGTAAATGTTTTTTTACTCATTTTTTAAACTCATTTTTAATGCAAAGAGGTCAAAATTTTAATGCAAAAATTTTCAAGACTTGGCAAAAAAGAAAAAAAACTTCACCAAAGTCTCTGTTTTAGCCACATGCACCACTGACATGTGTTTGGGTTTGGAAATTCTGGAGAGTTGGTCTTCATGCCGCTCAAAACCCTCAACACTTCAGTCTAATTCTTGTTTTAATATTGATATAAAAACATGGGCGTCGGAAGCAACAAAAAAAGTGGGTGGGTCCAACATAGTGTAACTGTAATTCAATGCTGCAACAAAGACTATATGATGTCTTTAAAAGCAACAGGCGAACAAATTATGAACATTCACTAAAATAACAGCTTGTTTAGTGACAGTATGTGAGCACACAGCCAGACTCGCCTGAGCAGCAGAGATGCTAATAATTGTTTACCTTGCTGTGTTGAGGGAGTGCAGCAGGCACGAGTAGTGAAAACACAGAATGGAGTTTAATTTATATGGACTCTGAATGAACCAAGTGGAATGGATTTAAGGAAGCAGCAGCGTGGAAGTCAAGGCTGTAGCTAAAACGCAGAATGGAGTTTAATTTATTAGGGCATTCCTCAAGTGGAATGGATTTGACTGACGGCGCTCTGAAAAGTGAACAGACATATGCGCTGAATTAACTAAAAGTGAGTGGGTCCAATATCATTGGTCTCATTTGTCCCACCCACATACAATGGTTCCGACGCCCATGTATAAAAATAATCATGAATCATAGCAAGCAGATCTATGAAATCAGTTTTGTTTTTTCCACAAATTCTGTGTTTTCTGGTTTAATTCTTTCGATTCTGTTTTAATGCTTTGATTAAATTTTAATAACATGTCTAATCAAGTGAATTCATACATTTTTAACAATTTAATATACTATTAAAATCTTAATACTATGAATTGTTAATATCAATAATTCTTTGTTGTGTGTTTTAATGTTTCTGGATTCTGTGTTTTATGATTTGTAAATGTATTACCAAAAACCATAAAACAAATTAATGCATAAAATATTATTTTAATTAATATTTTAAATGTAAATCAAATGAATTAATAAAGCTACTAAAAACAAAGTAAAAACAACGCTGAATAACAAACTGCTGCACAACAGAGATTTATTATTGAAATTAAAATATGGATGGAAAATTGTGTAACATTGAGTGATATTCCATAAAAATTTTTTAAATAAATTATATTCTTCTTATTATTATTATTAAGTTGAGAAGTACATTCTACTGTACAATAATAATATATGTCTGTCACAATTTCTTCAAGTTAAACCAAACTTTTATTTTGGCGTTTTTCTGTGTGCATTTGATGACAGTTTTGATTTATTCATCCAAAATTTAATTTTTATGAACGGATTCTTCTGTTCCGTGATTTCTGTATTGCAGAAATCACTTCATTAAGTTTTGTTGCAACAATGTAAGCTCTGCTCATGGCTGAATAGTACAATAACTTAACTGTTAACCACTGCAGAGTCTTAAAGGGATAGTTTGCCCAAAAATGAAAATTCTGTCATTAATTACTTGTAAGACCTTAGTAAGAAACTTAGTAAGGACATCATTAAAAAGAAACTTAGTAAGGACATCATTAAAATAGTCCATGTGACATCAATGGTTCAGCCGTAATGTTATGAAGCTACGAGAATACTTTTTGTGCACAAAAAAAATTAAAATAACGACTTTACTCAATTTGTAGAACATGCATGTGCTGCACCTTGTTTACGAACAGAGGAATGCACACATGCGTCGTGGTACTCTTGTGAATGACAGCGATGCGGGAACGTGTCAGTTGTGTTGCTGTCTATGGAGGGTCAGAAAGCTCTCGGATTTCAACAAAAATATCTTAATTTGTGTTCCGAAGATAAACAAAGGTCTTGCGGGTTTGGAACGACATGAGATTGAGTAGTGCTGGGTGAAATACCGAATACCGAAAATGTTTATTTTTGTTATGATATGAATTTTTAAAATACCGCAATACCGGTGTATGTCGCTTAAACAACGTTCGGAACGCGACACTGTTTGAAAGGGGTCCCTTTTCACTGTTGCACTGTGGTGAGGGAACAGCTGTATGTGTTACTAAGCGTGAAAGTTCCGAAACTGAAGCTGTAGAACTAAAAGAACGTGATGACACAGAAGAACTCATCAACAATATCCACATTGACCGCCACAAACATCCACCG